TAAATATTTGTGTCTAAAAATTACATATAATTGGTTGACATTGTTTTTTTAATAACTTTTTAATAAACAACGAGCGCCGGCTAAATCCTTCTGAGGGTTACTCAGGAGGGTGACCTCTATAATATATGTCAAGCCCAAGGTTATTGGAGGTGGGTGTGTTAATCTAAATAATTACCCATAAAAAATCAATAGAAAAAATATATCTTTTTACTTTATAAGTGATATTCGATAATCGCTTCGAATCGCTGCGAACTTGAATATCCGCATGCAAGAAATGAATACTTTTTACTCCGTACAAACGTTCATTAATATAATACGAGATAATAATGATGGTCCAGAGATCAAGGGAACTAATACTATGGTGTAGACCTGTCTCTTTTATGATTTTTCATTTAAGTTAGAGTCCTACGATGGGTTAACATTAATACATTTATTCTTATATTAATTAATCGTAATTACACTACTATTTTTAATTATGTTATAATGTACAGGTTACGCAAAGTGTCATATTAAGTTAAGGGATTCAAGAGGGCTCGGCAAACGTAGTACGAAGTTGGTGCGAATTGGCGGTTCTCTCTTGCTCCTCCTTTTCCCTTTCTCCCTTGCAGAGTTCATAACACTCACTGCCGCTTACAAATAATACTGAATCTACTCAAAGTATTTTCAGCCGCACCCAAAGAGAGACTTCCTTACATCGTGCGCAAGATTCTTGGCTCCTGCCGGTATTCGCTTTAACGTCGAATTAGCGAGATGTTAACAGCAGTGTCACGCGCGTATATCTGGCAACCAATTTTCCTCGTAAGATAAGATTATCAACGAGTCGCGAATCATCCGTTGCTGTTAACTCCTAAAGGAATCTTTTTCGCAACGATTTCATAGAATTCTGATTCTGAATCAATTTCATGTTTTAGAAAGATTTCCATCATTCTTCGTGCGATATGAAACATTTTGATTTCGCTGTCCATAAATAATCAATTTACAAATAAAAGATCCGTTTAAGAGTTAGCGATCGATATTGTGCAAGTCCGGCGAAATCGTTATCGGCGATCGCGTATAAAACAGTCTTGGCGAACTGAAGACTCGTTGCTCGTCGACAAACGCGCGCTCTCTTTGGGGATCAACAACAGTCTTTTACAAAGGTACGACCTTCTCGTTCCGATGTACCGGGGTATCGTACACGGGCACGCACTTGTAATATTGCGGCGGATACGACGCATATGACGCCTCCGAGGGTGACAGACGGCCGCGGAATCGGTTGCGCACGATGTGGATTATCAGTAGCAGACACAGTAGCGCAAGTACGACGATTAACGTAATCGGTACTGTGCCCCAGCCCCGGCTCGTCATCTGATTAATCATGTCGTTCTCCTTGATCGTCTGGAACAGACGCGATAATATTAATCCTTAGAGATTGCTTTCTTTCAATTTCAACAACTCGAAGGGTTCACAAATATTTCCCCGATATAGTTGCAAAGCAAAAGTTACATTTAACGAATGTGTATAATTAACATCGTATAACGTGCTGTTAAATATCAAGGGAATAGGATATAAAACTCACTGTAATCGGACATATGGGGCAACAAGTGCCTAGTTTCGGTGGTAGCGGATTACTGCAGGCCACCGAGCAGATAGTTTCTTTACAATTAAGTCGCCCACCAGACTCGCACGTGCACGTGGTGCAGCTGTTCGGATGCCAAATCGATCCCTCCGGATGCGTCTCGTTCAAATGGTCCATGCACGAAGCCCGACAGCGGCATAACTGCAAGGGGAAATCCATTTATTTCATTTTTCTTCAAATTCATTCGTTCCCCTTGTAAAAATACAAGGGAATTGGAGCGTCGCACTTACCGGGCAGCCGCGCTTGTTCGTCTTGTAACCGAAGCTGCACCTCTTCCTGCAGCCGAGGAGCGGCGGACAGCCGGCGGTGGGTGGCTTGCACTCGCAAAAGGTGCAATCGTTCTCGTCCATGACGAGCTCGCAGTGCAGATCGCACTTGACCTCGGGGCAGATTCTTTTATCATTCGCGGTGTCCAGGGCGGTGACGTTTGGTGGCGAATAACGCGGTGGCGTCTGGCAGGCGCACACCGGGCAGCCGTCCTCGTCCTTGACGAGGTCGCAGTTCAGTCCGCAGTGCGGCAGCTCCGGGCAAACTTTGTAATCTTCCGGTACATCCGGTACATCCGGCGCGAGGTCGACCTCCTGGAGAAGACGAGAGTCGTCAGTACGCGAGATAGAAGCAGCGTTGTTGAGAGGAAACCGCCGGAATTCCTCTTATTCGCCAAGTTCGTCTCGCGCGTGATGACTCCGAGAAGAAAGCTTCTCTAGCTGCGGGTACGTTGCGAAGATAAGGAAAACTATGTCTCTATCTTAGCTGGGTCACGACTGAAAATCCGTGTGGCGGACGGTTGTTGCAGTCGGTCACATTTAGCTAAGGTTGATAGAGAACGTTTCGTGGTGGACGAGGAGATACCGCGTAGGAGATTGCATTGTCATTGTAGATCGTCAGCTAACCCAGAGCAGTTGTTGTTTGTCATATCGTACTCTAGACTGTATGGTTTTCGTGTGTGCATTATATCTCGAGTATTACATGTCAAATGTAATACTCACAAATGTAGATTTATCAAAGAAAAATGTCGATTAAATATAAAACGTTGAATAGGTTTAACGCAATTCTTGGTAGCGCAATTGTCTTCAATTTCTGGTACACCTCTAACGATAAGTGACAACTGATGCCAGTTTTAAATCTGTCGAAAATTGTCCGTATTCTTACCAAATCGTCGGCGCACTCGCAGATCGGGCAGTTATCCTTATCCGTTCGGAAGCCGTGGTAGCATTTCATCTTGCAGTCGTTCAGGGACATCTTACAAGACTCGTCAGGGCGGTGATCGAAAGTGCGATTCGTTAGCTGTGGGCAATGAGGGCAGCATTCGCCCGGATCAGGTGGTATCGCGTTCTCGCAGGACTTGCACATGGTCGTTTGGCAGGACGCGATTCCGTCCTCGTTGCAGATGCAAGTGATACATTCGTTCTGTTTCCATTCCTCACCGAATTTCCTCGAGACGCCCTCGTGAATACAGTTTTGCGGTTTCTCCTCGACCTTTGCCCAGAAGATCGGATCTGGAAAGTTGTACATTGATGCTTTACTCTTTAAAAGTCAATCAGTGGATTATCACTGAAAGGATTTCTGTTACTGAGACAAAAAATATTCTTGACGCATTTCTACTTCTTACAACCTCATTTAGTATAAAAATAAGACAATATCAAAATAAAATCGATAATTCTTATTCTCCTCTATCGAAAAAAGATTGACTTACTAGATTGAGACAAGAGTAACTTATATAAATGTAAGTTTATACATTCTTGCGTTTAGCATAAATTTTTCCTCTTAACCCACGACATTCGACAAAAGACTATCATTTTATTCTAGATTTGAGAATTTTTCATTTAAGATTAAAATATACCTTTCTGTATAATAAATATGATTGGGCGCTATATCGATCCTATTTTATGATTCATTCAAGTATAATAGCATTGGATCCGGAAAATTTTTCTCTGGGTGCGGAGGTGCTGCATTGTTATCTGAGAAAGTATACTACTGAAAAGCAGTGGTATACTTATAACTGTGAATCAGTGAGTATTCACTGTTTTCAGTGATAATCCACTGATTAACTTTTAGAGAGTACATTTACATACGTTAATAATACATTTTCTTTCTGAAAATGACGAAATTAAGGGAATAGCAGTTGAGAAAATGTTTCACGGCAAAGTCTCGCAGGAAAGGAAAGAGTTGTAATTTATACAGATTTAATCTACATACAGTCTATCGGAGAAAAACCAAGTCAGGAAACTCGAGAGATATCTTATCACATGTTCACGTGTCATTTAAATATCGGAGGAAGAAAAATATTTAAGAAGATTTTTTGGACAGAACTGTATTAAGCCGCTGCAACATCGTTCCCTCGCGCTGAGATTTTGGTGATGTGCTAAAAAAAATGGGGCGATATTTCCCGAAAACAGTTTATAAATAACTGACGATGCCGTCGGGAAGCCAGGAAGCGTCGCTAACCCAAATATGGTAGTTTTGCGAGCAAACGAGGGAAACTTGGGCGAGTGCCTCGGTGTTGCCGGAGTTTGCGAGCTTTCGCATAAAATTGTTGCGACGGATTTTTCAACGTTGCAAAGGCAATCCGCGTTTTTAACAAATCCTTCAATCTCGGCGAAGAATCGCCGCGTTATTAGCGAGGCAACCGGTTAATTATGCATACGAGATTACGGGCGCGTATAATCGTCGGCCGCGCGTTTACGCGCTCGTCTTCGACGATCAAGTCATTATTCGGCGATTTAGCAGCGGCGACAAGCCCTCATCCGGTAATCGTCAAAGCGCCGGAAATTGCGGAATCTTGTAAAGATTTGCAATCTCGCTTAATATTCATAGCGCGCCCTTAACGCGCCCGCACAAAGCCGTCTTACGCCTCTCGTCGCCGTTAATAACTCGCGAAAATCTAATTATCCGCGACATTATTTCGTTACACGGACGATCGGGGAGGCTGGTATCGTCGGCATCAAGGCTGTCGAGCGTTCTCGATGTAAAACACCGCGATTAGCTTCCCGCGATGACTTGGCTGTTGACGCGAGCGTCGTATTTCGCTCAGAGCGCTTTTATTTATGCCCTCCTCACCCTCTTTACACAACCGAGTGCCTGTACGTGAAATTTACATGCCCAAGTACGCTCCAGCTGGATGGTGGAGCCTCGGGTGCTGATCTTTTCTGCACGAGACAATTCTGTACGCCGGTTGGTTTTAAGTCGCCACTTAAGTCGGCGCTGATAAGAGATGAATTTGTCGTCGCGCCGATAATGGTATGCGCATTACAATCAGGCGAGCGCATTGTTCCAGCCTGTAAAAAGTGGAATTTTCTCGCAACTTAACGGCGTGTAAATACAAGCTCTAAGTGGTGCTTACGCGATCACCGCCCATGCACGCCGACCGGGAGATCCTCGATCATTATCTCGCTACGTCAGGCGTCGATTTTGGCGCGCGTACGTCTACTCTCTGCACCCTGGCGAGAGAAGCATGTGGGTCAGGCGGTGGATGCGGGTGTATTACGTTTTATCCCCGGCCGTCTCATTTACGAGCGTTCATTCATAACGTCCCCCGAACTTTAAAGCGGCGCGTTGCCGTGAAAAATCGGCTCGGTAACGCAAAGAGGTAAAAACAATTTTCGCGAGCCTCCGCTGACGCTGCGAGCGGCCCATTATTTCCTTGTCGCGACACACACACACGTAGACGTACGTTTGCGTTGAAAGGGGAAAAATTTGCACGAATTTTTTTCATCGGATCGGCCGGCTGGCTGGTCCCTCGCCGGTTCACATATAGCTTACACCGCCGGAAAAAGCTAAATTCGTGAGCTTTTGTAAGAAATATGAAAGGGCGGGTGTTCCCTTTATGTGCCCGAAGATCTTTTTTTATTCCGTTTCATTATTCTGGATGTTTCATTACTCTTTGTAATCTGCACTGCGGCGAGGGGACGATATCGACGGCTGAAATTGAGGGCAATAATAAAAGCGCTTTTGTAGAAAATATTAAAGATATAATCTCTCGTAGCGGAGAGAATGGGTGTTCGGGGAGAGCGAGAAAGAAAGAAAGATGTGCTAAATGAAGAATTATAAGATCTACGCGAGCTGCGAAACGATTATCCGATCCAATATCGTAAAGATATAGGAAGAAATTACGCTTGAATTAATGCACCGTCGGACAGATTGAACGGAAGGTGAAGTAATTGCACATCGAGAGAAAGGCGCGACGAATCAATTGTAAATATCGTTAACGGCTGCGATTAGGGCGCGAAATCGTCGGAGAAGTAATTATTTTTGTAATTAACATGATAAAATGTAATTAGCATGTAGAGTACACTTTTGCAGCGAAAGCCGGAGTGAGAGAACATCTATCTGTATAATTTAATCCGATTGTATCGCTATTTACCTCGGCGCGGTATCAGGGTTTACGTCAATATTTATTATCGCGTGTACTTTTCGACGAAAGCGTATTAATTAAACGAGGCATCAACTATGTACGCGTGACCGATAATGCGGACTATGGGCTAATGAATATTGTTAACAAGGTAGAACGCTGTTTAACTGTCGCGTAACTGTTTAAACACCGTCCTGTGCGTTGCAGAACTGGAATGAATTTATCGTATGATGTAAAATGGTATTTAATTGCCGAGAATCTGCGATCCGTCGAAAGAGACCCGCGATATCCGGAACCTATTTAATCGATCGAAATTTATTCAAACGTGTAATTTAAATATTACACGCATTTCATTTCATTTTTTTCGTCGTGACGCAATCGAATAATTTGTCCCGCTTGCATAAGCTGCTTAAATTCAGCATTTATTGAGTGTAATATCGGGACGGTGCGTTGCCGGATCACTTCCAAACGCGAAAATGAAGTATAGTCGAGCACAATAAATCGATATCATTAAGAGAGCCAAGAAGAATAATCTCTTGTCCGCGATAATAATGTTTCTAGTCTAATGATTTGTAGCTGACCGTAGCGTGCTCGTGGTAGAAATGTTATTAAATTTTAAAACAGGCACGGAGCACTATTAAATTTTAACAGAAAGAGAGAGAGAGAGGGCGATTTTGCGAGATAAGAATGACTTCATTAAAATTCAACAGGTAGATCGAAAGTTCCGCAGCAAGAGAGCGGCGACGGTGTAACTTTAAACGTCGTAACTTAAAAACCGCCGCTCGCTGAAATATCGCATTTGAGCATTATCTCTGCTTACAATCTGCGCGACTAGCATTTATAATGCCGGTAGATTCTAGAATGAATTTCAAAAAATGGTAGCGTTGGTATTTAGGAGGCTATTTAATTTCCACGTAGTTTTATTAAAAGAAAAGAAAATTATGTAGAAAGTATGAGATAGTCTATTTTCTTATACGCGGCAGCCATAATTGGAAGCAGTAGGTATCGTCGAATTAAAAGATACACTTCCCAAGTCGGTGAAAAGTTCTGAGAAACTCCTTGGTGGATTCCAAGCGATGAAAGAGAAAGAGAGAACCTCCTCTATTTTGTCGCAATGATCTCTTCGCCCTTTCAGAATCTCATTATGTATATTCCCGTCACATACTTAACGTACATACGGACTCGATTTCCCTCTGCCCTTCCTCTCTCTCTCTCTCTCGGTAATGGAATGCCGCGCGTCCACAGGAAATGCGTTGATTACGATTGAGGAAGTCCTTCGTGCCGATATCTGAAGTACATTGAGGCTACAAGCCAGCGAACGAGCTCGCCTCGTCAGATTGCAATTCGAGCATCCGAGGGAAAGAGAAAGAGGACAGAGACAGAGAGAGAGAGGGTCGGGAGAGAGAAAAGCAGATCCCCGAGATATCGACCCGATATACGGTGTATTCCGTTGCTATCGCTTGACAGGAGCCAGCCTCGATTACGACCTTTCGTAATTACCTGAGGGTCTGCAGTCGTGAAGGGGGCAACAGCTACCGGGTGTCTCGGGCTTAGCTGCCCGCACCTCGACCGGCCGTTGACCAGATCGGCACTTGGGCGGCGGACACGTCGGGACGCACTTGCAGATGCCATCGTCCGTCAGGACGCTGTCCTCGGGACAGAACGACTCGGCCCGCTGATGGCGATGATCTGCAAAACCGGTGTGATCGGACGCCATTAACTCGTGTCACCGACTCGTTAAGCGAGAAAGATGTATTCTATTTCTATGCCTCTCTCGCTTCTTAATTACCGCATGGTAATTAAACGGTACTTGTTAATTTTGAGCAGGGAGAAGGGAATTTTTAACTTTGCGAACGTTCCAGTTAAAATGTTGATAGCAAATGGAGAGACCTTCATTTCCAAGATTTAATTTTATTTTGAGTAAATGTTACAAGTGCTTTCTTTTATAAAGCGCTCCGTGTCGGCTGTTTAGAGTCAACATTATCATCGACCTGACGTTTTTCAAACTGTGCGGTTTAATCAAAGGAAAAGCGCGATATTTACACCGTCGTATCATTTTCCCGGTTCCGCAACAGTTCCGATCTTGCGCGCGCCCGGCCATTCGTTACACTCGGTAAACATTATTTTCCGCCGCGAACACGGCCCCTTTTATGGATTCTGTTACCTGAGGGAACGCAGTTGTAGCGCGAGCAGCAGTTACCGGGGGTCCCGGAAAATGATCCCCTCACCAGCACCGCCTGCTGACCCGGTCGGCACTTGTGGGGTGGACAATCCGCACATTTGCAACCTCCGCCATTCTCGTTCGGCGCGCTATCCTGCGGGCAGCCGTCGACACTGTGCGCGGCTCCTTGAAACAGAAAAATCGCCAGCGAGATTAACGTCAGGAGCAGAATTCCCGGGGACGGTCGGCGATATGTCCGACGAAGGACGGCGCCGTTAAACCGCTCCACGTCGAAAGATATCTCCGTCCCGGGTGTCGGATTCTCCTCCAACCCCCGGGATTCTTCTCCAAGCGCTTGAAATTGCGCCAGGCTATTCAGTGTACTTTATTATCAATGGTACTTTGCACCAATTTGCTGTCGCGCGGAGTGCCCGAAAATTATGGCCATTACTTTCGTATATGCCTCGACCGATGTGGAGAAAATTTATCGATGGCAGAATTCATGATTCTCTAACACGATCTGCATGGAAAGATTGTTATCTTAATTATTTTGAATTTTTATTCAATCACACGTGTAATATATTCATTGAACGAGATAGACAGTCCCGAGAAAATATGTATGTTATTAGCACAAGCTTGTTCGCAAACGATATCGATTCGATTTCTATTCATTATTCAGTTCGTTAATTGAGCTTCGAGTTAACGATAGGCGTCCTCCTTCCTCGTCCAAAATAGCATAATGACTCTAGTAATTTCCTGAAAATAAATTTTGCACGCCGAATGAATATTTTAAACCCCTTTCCATTAATAAACCGACAGCAAATGCTCTGTAATTATGTTGATATATGTGACGGGCGAACGTGTGCGCGTCTTTGTGAAAAAGATGTCGGCCCTTCTATGTGGGTCGCTGCGCACCAGTGTCACGAGTTATACGATGTGTACCAGTGCCATTAATATAAATTCCCAAATGAGTAAGGAAAAGAGATATATCCTTGTCAGAGACGCGGTGAGGATCGATTATTTTATTCAGCGGATTATTCCGACCGAAGATATACGCATTATTGTCCCGTGTGTTTGCGGAGGTCCCGTCGTGCCGGGGAACGGGAAAAATAGCGAGCTTGATGGATGCCAAACCGGAAATCTCGGAGGTACGCGATGCGCCGAGAGAATGAGAAGATGGCGCACCGGTAAATTCTCTTTCTGGCGGCTTTATAACGGAAATGGATTATTTTCTAACGATTCTATCGCGCAGCCGCGTCTCTACTTGTTTCTCGAATGAAAATAGACATCCGAGCGATGCAAAAATCCCGAAGACATCTCAAGTTAGATATTCAGAGACCGCCGTATTTAATTACGAGATGGCTGTAAATTCTCGGAACTCTATCACACCACGCAAATGTTCGTAACGTGAGTCATCGTTGTCTCATACATACTAAATGTGTTTGTTTGCATATAGAGATAATTTCCTGCAGATTACATTCGTGTGGTTCCAGATTGATCTTGAAGGCTCGGTGAATTGCGTTGTCGGTGAAATGGTCACAATTCCAATTCTCGCGTCGTTCTCTTGTTGACGAATGTATTTTAATTATTCGTTAATATGTAATTTATATCATTGTCGTCGCGCTACAAAAGAATTCTGAAATCGACCTAAACACCTTCCACGTTACATTGTAGGAATATTTGAGAAGAGTAAGATTTTATTATTGATTTTACCCGAGATACCGCGAGCGACATTCTGCTGAACAAAAACATTGCGAGTATGCATAACTGTGAGCGACATCGGAGTCTCTTAAAGTTACGTGATATCGCAACGAAAAACCAGATGTGGAAGAAATACGGAGAGAAAAGAAGAAGTTTAAACTTGTCCTTTGTATGGATTCGGGTAAGGCGAAGTTCGTACATGTACACGCGGAAGATACTTTCCCGCTGTAGCTGTTAAGGAAAGCGGAATATTCGATACCCAGAAATTTTTAAAATCATCCTTTAAACGCGAAACTGCAGGAAAAATCCCGCGAGACAAACGTGAATCTTTCAAAGACATCAAAAATTCAGTCACATAAAACATGGCGAGGAAAATCATCGTGCGAAATATTTTTACAGAGGAAAAGGTCGGATGAAAACAATCGCGGAGAATGAAAAGGAACTGCTCTTACAATTAAAAGTTTTCTCTCTGAAATTTAAGAAAGCGGATTCTCTTAAAACTTGGTTTGCGTAGCCTAATGGACCTTAATCCTGCCTGTGAAAGTTTTATATCGAACGTCGCGCTTATACTTTCGGATAGTCTGTAAAATATACATCACAGGGCACGACGACAAGGCTTTCACCTTTGTGAGAGTCGCTGTTTCAGTGACACTTAATAACATCGGAGCGGCCCTTACTAACGTTCATCGCGCAGAAGTCGCGTCAAAATCGGCGATTGCGGTCGATTCTTGTATCCGTTGGATGAGTCTGCACATCCTCTGGAACGCGCAATCCGCTCTGCGCTCGGCGAGAGATCGATGACTTAACAGCGAGAACGCCGTGTGCATGATGCACTCACGGTGCATTTCGTGTCACGACCAGTCTGTCGTCCGTTCGTTCTTTGCGTTTCGGCTGCTGACGTGACAGAAACGAGAAGATACGATCTTCTCCTTCTCGTCCGGTGCCGGTTGCACGCAGCCTCTTTGTGTTCGGCTTTCGCAATTTCGCGCCGGAGATTTCCGAGCCGGATAAGTCCCGTTCTCGTTACCGCCGCCAGCGAGAAACGGCGGGGAAGAAACGAATAAAACGCGCCTTTCGGTTTTCGACTGCTTTTGGCGTGACTGAAGGGTACATTGGTCAAAGGTTACGCTGCGGCGAGTCCTTTAGCCGAAAGGGCTACGGAGGCCTCTCGCTCTTCATCTCTCTCTCTCTCTCTCTCTCTCACAGTGAAAATCTCCGTCCCTCTCGACGATCAGAGAACGATAGCCATTGGATTTTGTTGCATCTGTTAAAGTCATCGGTTTAACAGTCGAAGAGTTGCTTTCAAATCTTTTTGATAAGAAGCATCTTAATAAATTTTTTTTTATAAATTTCTGTTTTTCAAGCTTTCCGTTTTTTTTGCTGTCGCTTTACGGCTGTTTCTGAATTCAGATGAAATTGAAACTTATCGCAGAGTTATTGTAACCAACTTTCGCTATCAAGAACTTTCAACATACGAACGAAATATATTAGAGTTTACGTACTTAAGTCGCAAGGAGAAAATTTTTCCTGAAAGAAAATATGTGGAAACTTAAAGTCAGAGCGAGTTAAATCTGTTTGATTAATTTTAGTCTTTCTCCTTAAAAAAATACGCTTTATTTGTAACATTGATCGAATAATAACAAGGTGTTACAATAAATAACACTGATCGAATAAACGATCAATTAATCTACTTTAAATATTATAAGAGACATAAATACTAATGCAATTTAAATTCAATACTTTTTTTGTAGTTTACTATCTAAAAGTCAATCAGTGGATTATCACTGAAAATCGCAGTGGTATAACTTTAAATAAGTGACTATTTACTATTTTCTGTGATAATTCACTAATTGACTTTTAGAGAGCAGCGTGTACCGTAATTAACCACTTGTCATTATTAGTCATAAGACGGATCACAGATCGAGATATGCTAAAGTATCAAGTTTAGTTAAAGGTTCCTCGAGGTTTAATACAGAAAGCTGTGGTTTATATTCCCCGATCGGGATCGGCTCGTAAACTTTGGGAAAATACGAAATTTCGAACGCTCGTAAGAACGAACTCATTGTTCAGGGGAGATTCGGAGGGATCGAGCCACGCGATAGGATGAGTGCTTCCCTTTCTGTCCTTACGTCCCGCCATACTCCCCTATTTTTCGAGGATCCTTGCCCACGGGATCGATCAACGTGTTCTTATCTGCACCCTTCCGTACTTTAGGCGTTCGTCCTTAGGTAGGTAGTGGCCTAAGGCACGCGTAAATCGGCACGAATCGCGCCGTAAAGATATCAGGGTTGGAGACTGGGAAGTAACCGGCGAAATTAACTTTAAAGGGCAAAAAGATAAGGTGTGGAAGAAAGGATGGGCGAAAATTAGCTCTCGTTTCGGAGAGGCGGTTTGGCGGTAAACGAAGTAACATCGATGCGGTGGAATCGCGATTCGAGCTGCGATACGATCGACGTGCCAGCTGATTTATCTCAGCGACGTGTGCACGCGACTGTGTATGGTATACTTGGTGAAACGACGGAGGTGAATGAGGAGAGGAAAGTGGGTAATTTCCTGCGAAAAATAACATCGCGCGGTGCTCACGAAACGGGCAGGCGCCACGAGGAGAAGGAAGTCCTGATTGCTGCCCCCCCGTTGCTCCTTCGACAGTGACGAATGACTGATGAAGGTTCGTTTTGTATTAATAATCGCGCACTCGCACTCCGGACACAATTTTCCTCCAGGAAGCGTATTTTCGATTGAGTATACGTTATCGTCGGGTGTTATCGAGCGTGCGCGAAATAAACGAAGGTTCACTTGAAAAGCGAAAGATGGACCGCGATTACGAAAATTGCATACAGAATACTTTCTTCAATCAATATCGCGGAGTCATTCTTTTTTCAAATCATGGTACAAAAGCCAATGAAGTAAACGAGCGACAAAGGTTCAAGTTGTAATAATTAAATAATTATAATTAAGAACGAAAGTACATGAAATTAAAATAAAACGCAACGTACGTTTCGACATACACTGTCGTCTCATCAGTATAAAATACTTATAAAACCATAAACGAATTACATAAATTAAAAGAAACACAAGTAAAAATATAAGATGGACTTGTGATGCACGTTGATTAAAAATGTGAGCTCGAAGCAGATGGTCCGAGAGCGATGGGGTCAGAAATTCAAATTAAGTCCGAGAAGTCAGAAATGAAAAAATTCTTTTAATCTCAAGTGTGTTAGCACTTATATCGCGTGTAATAGGGTGAATAGGTTGGTCCATTATACGAAAAGGCGAAGAGTCAATTGAGCAAAAATTATAAATCTAGCAAAAAAGAATATGAAATAAGTCATAGATAGAGTGAAGTTAACTATTAAAATTCTGTTTTCAACAAAACTACTACAGCGAAATATTTCAATGATGTATCTATAGCCTGCAAATAAGGTGACATCACATTTGACTAGACGTATGTAGAAAATGCATCGAAGAATGTGTACCATGATCGA